GGGGGAACTTCACATTACAATGCAGATAAATTACACAATGGAAACCGGCGTGGAGAGGGGAGGGAAGGAATGGAAAATACCCAAAAAAAATTTACTGTCCAAATAATTAATCTTTTTTGGGACAAAAAAAACAACAAAGACTGTCCAAACAAATCATCTTTTATAATAGCTGAGAGCATCTGACCTTATAATTTATGATGTAGCCACCTATGAGAGATGGGCACAGAGATTGGAAGTATCTCAAACTAGTGAATCCACCTCTGACTTCAAATGTAATTCTATCACTTGACAATGTGCCTCAAGTACACATTTCCATTGCTGCAAAAATATTAAAACACATAAACTTACCTGCCTTACAAACCCAATTCAACAGCATTAGTAGTTTTGTTACTTTGCCACCGCACAAAAATTACTATTCCACGCATGCTCGTCCAGATTAGAAATCGGCTCGTTTATCTTTTCAATTCTTCGGACCCTTGTAAAAGTATTATTTTCTTATTCATCGATGTAACTCAAGTTTTTTAGTATCTTTTTAGTCTCTTTGCACCTTCCGGCCATTAGTGTTTCCATAGCAAACTCTGTATGGGCGACTATTGGAGGAATTAGGGGTAAGCAGAACAAACCATTGACACCTTCTTGAACAATACTTTGGAAAAATATATTAGCACTACGTTTGGTAAAAGGAATTTGGAGGAAAAGAAAAGAAAATGGTTTTCCCTCACTTTCCTCACCAAAATGTAAGGAATTTGGTTTTCCCTCCTCTTAGTATATCTTGCCTTTTTATTTTCTTTTCCTTCCACTTTTGTTTTCTTTTCCTCTCTAACCGAACAAGAAAAATGTTTTCTTTCTCATTTTCTTTTCCTTTCCCTCTCAAATTCCTTGAACCAAACATAGTATAGACATTCATTTAAATGACATGTTTTTTTTTTGCTGAGACTGACAAGATGGTTTGGAAAGAGAAAATGTTTGCAAAGATGAATAACAAAAAAAATCAAGGAACCAAACACCGAGGGGGGGGGGGATAAATCTATATTTGCAGGGACGGACATATTTAAGGCTTGGAAACATGGTGGTATTTTGAAGAAAATATGATCAACAATATGGGAGGAAAATATGAGAAAAAGAACCAGACCTTCAACCGAACTTGAATCCACCAGATGGAACATTAAGTTCACTGCCTCCAAAGTTGAATCCAGACTGTGGTGCATCGCCGGATGGAAGCTGCTCTTCATCCTCTTCCAACCAATAAGTCTCAAGGATCTTCACAGCCTTCTCATATATTTCATTGTTATCATGACTCTGAAGGCTTTCAATCTTCTCCAATCCATCAGCTTCGTCAATCAACTGTGCAAATGCATTGACACCATCTGCATCTTTCTCAGTTTCCCCAATCTTCAGAATGTTTTCCAGGCCTTCCAAGCAGACAGTCACAATTCTTGGATCAGGACAGGCTAGAAGATCACACAATGGCTTAATACATCCCTGTGCAACCAAGAACCTGCAAAACACACCAAATGAGAGCTTCAACTTATCTGGCAAAGTAGGAGACTACTACATTAACACTTACACTACGTTTGGTTCTAGGATTTCACAAAGGAAAAGAAAAGAAAATGACATGGAAAACAATTTTTACTGTTTGGTTGGAGCGAAAAGAAATTTAAAGTGAAAGGAAAAGAAAATGAGAAGAAATAAAGTATAAAGAAGGAATTGTGTGATCTAAAATGAGAAAAAATGAGAAGACAAAATGTAGTGTAAGTGTTACTGAGCACTGACCAAATTCCTCCTATTTTGGTGAGGAAAATGAGAGAAAACCATTTTCTTTTCTTTTTCTTCCAAATTTCTTGAACCACCAGACATAGTGTTAGTATTTTTTGTTCCTTCCCAACCATTTCCAATAACCAAACATAGACTTTAAAAAAGAGGTATACTTCATACTTGATTTGTTCATGAGATCCACCAGACGTAGCATTTGAAATTGCCCAAGCAGCCTCTTTCTTTATCTCAAACTCAGCATTTTGGAGAAGATAGACAAGAGGTCCAATTATGCCAGCATTAATAACAGCCTGGGAATTAGAAATGAGGCCACTCTAATGTCAGCATACTTCAACGAGAGGATCACGGGTAACCACAAAAGCACATCAAAATAACATCAAATAAAAGCACAATAAATGTGTTTCTTTAAAAGCATTATAATGTTGAGAATAGCAAAACGTTCCAACATGAGAATACAAGATCAAAATTTGTTTCCTGTGTGGGATTACCTGAATTTGATCTCTATTTCCAGCTGTGATATTAGATATTGTCCAGCATGCTTCCTTCTTGATGCTTTTTTTGTATTGTTGAGTCAATAAGTTAAGAAGGCAACCAAGGGCCTGATTGTCAATGATGACCTGTAATTTGAAAATCGATTATGAAAAAAGGATCGCACTGAGCATATTCAAGTAATTAGAACATACAGTAAGGTTCATGACAAAACTAATGATGTTCTACTTAACGAATGAATGAAAATGATTTCATCCCTCTATATGTATGTACATATGTACTACACACACAGAGAATCTAGAGCTCATTTAAGATTTTTTTTGGAAAAGACAAAATGTTAAAAATAAGAATATTAGAACCCATATGGTTAGAGTTACTTCAATGGGTTCCTCTCTCTCTATGGCATGTGATCCCTGCCGATATACTAACGAAATAATGTAGCAAAATAAACCTTTGTGAACAGTTGAACACCATGTATCCTAAAGCAAATTTGTGAAACAGAGAAATACAAGAAAAATAACAAACAAACCAAAATAGTATTGAATACCTGAGTCTGGACATCATCTCCAGTAACAATGTTACCGACTGTTCTAAGAGCTGGAATAAGAACAGAGGGGGAAGTATGACTGAAGACAATCAATGACAAA